CAGGGCCACAGGGGAGCAGGGCCACAGGGGAGCAGGGCCACAGGTGGACAGGGCCGCAGGTGAGCAGGGCCACAGGTGGGCAGGGCCGCAGGTGGGCAGGGCCGCAGGGGAGCAGGGCCACAGGTGGGCAGTGCCGCAGGGGAGCAGGGCCACAGGTGGGCAGGGCCATAGGAGGGCAGGGCCACAGATGAGCAGGGCCGCAGGAGGGCAAGTCCACAAGTGGGCAGGGCCACAGATGAGCAGGGCCACAGGTGGGCAGGGCCGCAGGAGGGCAGGGCCACAGGTGAGCAGGGTCACGGGGGAGCAGAACTACAGGAGGGCAGGGCTGGCACCCCGGGCCGTACCCGGGCATCTCTTGGACTGAAAATTCTAAGCTGTGAAATCACACCTGGATGTTCCAACTCCAAAAGGCACTCCTCTCCCCATGCCTCACTGCCCTGAAGGATGCTTGGAGGGACAGGAGAGCCGCCACTGAAGGGGGGCTCCCAGGGCCGCTGAGGCAGAGGGGTGGGGCAGGCTCACATCGGGCAGAGCCGCGGCCACCTCCCTGTCTGCTCCAGAGTGTGGTGGAAGGAGGGAAAGTGTTGTCTGCCTGCCTGATTACCAGAGAGCCACAGACGTCTGTTTATAAATAGCAGCCCCCGCAGGGCCTGCTCCTGGCTGGCAGACAGAGCCGCCAAGGCTGTGCGCGGACATATACACATCCGCGCGCACACACACACCGGCCTGCCTCCGCTGCCATGGCAGGTGGGGCTGTCTGTGCAGTCATCCCTGGATGTGACAGCCCCACTCCCTGGGCCTGGAGCATGGGCAGTGCTGTAGCCTAAGGGGGCCTGGCAGTGCCACAAGCAGGAGGCCTGGGCTGCAGAGAAGGTGCCACCCCACCCCAGGCTGGGTAGCAGAGCCCTCCCACAGCCAAGCTTGCAAACTGAGGGTGCAGAGAGCCCCCGGCACTGGGAGGAAGCCCGGGATCCTAATGCCTTCTTCAGCCTCAGTTTCCCCAGCCATCTGCCACTTTCCGGCGGTCTAGAGTTCAGGCCAATCCAACACAGCTTGCACAAAGCTTTATGCTGTGGCCCGAGGGAGGTACAGCAACTGGCAGGTCATGTAACAAGGTGAGGGGGAGCTCCCCCCAGGGCCAGGGGCTTTCACCTGCCCATGCTCCACCTCTGGCTCTCAGGGTGTCTGTGAGGAGTGATCCAACTCCCCCAGCCTCAGACACACCCCCTCAGGCTGTCGTGAGGACCCCATGAGCTGCCACAAGGGCACTGCCTACCCAGGGTGGGCCCCCAACACACACAGGCGGCTGCAGCTCTTGCCATCCCTGCTTGTCCCCACCCCATGCTGCTCAAAGCTCTGGGGTGCTTCGGCCTCCCCCAGACAGATTGCTGAGGGCACACCAGGAAGGGAGCCTCGGGCTGCCCAGCACAGGTCCAGGAAGGCTCCCTGGAGGCAGGGACACTGAGGCCCAGCACCCCCCGGTGGGAGGGCGTCCCCCTCACTGTGCCCACCTGGCCTCCCACCCCTGCAGGAGCAACTCCCAGACCTCAACACCCACTTCCGCTCCCAAAGCTTCCACACATCCATGTACGCCTCATCCTGGTTCCTCACACTGTTCCTGACCACCTTCCCACTCCCCGTCGCCACCCGGGTCTTCGACATCTTCATGTATGAGGTGAGGACCGACAGTGCCTGGGGAGGGAAGAGAGCCCCTTGGGGGTGGCTGGAACAGGAGCCTCCCTGCCCTCCTCCTCCCACTGCCTTTGCTGCCTTTGCAGGGGCTGGAGATCGTGTTCCGAGTGGGCCTCGCCCTGCTGCAGGTGAACCAGGCGGAGCTGATGCAGCTGGACATGGAGGGGATGTCCCAGGTGGGCCAGGAGGGCCAGGGCCAGTGGGGCTGCCCCCAACCAGGGGCTCCGAGTCACAGGATGCCCTCGCAAGTGACAGAGAGGGCCTGGCTTCGAGGGTGGAAGGTGGCGTGCCTGACCTCCCTGATCTGTTTCCATCCACTCTGTTCCCCTGAGGTCTCCCTGAGGAGGCTGAGCCCTGGGAGCCCCACTGCCCACCTCCTGCCCCAACCCTGCAGGTTCCCCGAAGCCTGATGGCAGGTCATGAGTCTGGCTGACCATGAGGGCATCCCCACCCTGCCCCCCAGCCTGGTGAGGGCACAAGAGGGAGTGCAGGGGTCTAGGCAGCCTCACGCCTTGCCCCACCTCGGCCTGGCCTGCCTGGAGGCCCTGCTGCTGGCCAGCCTGCCTCCCACCGCCACTTCTCTGCTGTGCAGGCCCCTGCCTCCTCCCAGCGTCCTCCAGCTGGTGCTTCAGGGAAGAATGCACAAAGGCCACGGTTGTGTCCGTGAACACGGGCAGGCATTGTCCACAGCTGCCAGAGGGGGCCAGCTGGGCCGGGTGTGGGAGCTGTGTCCCCCACCCGCTTACCTTAACCCTTTGCACAGGCCCAAAGCCCCCAGCATGCCCGTCCTCCTTTCCCCACGAAGGTCCCCTGTGTCAGACCCCCCGACCCTCAGCCTTCACTCCCAGGAGAGCCTCCTTGGCCTGCTTTTCTCTTTTCCTTTTTCTTCTTTCTTTCTTTCTTTCTTTCTTCCTTTCTTTCTTTCAAGTCGGAGTTGCTCTGTGGCCCAGGCTGGAGTGCCGTGGTGCAATCCTAGCTCCCTGCAGCCTCCACCTCCTGGGCTCAAGCAATCCTCCTGCCTCAGCCTACTGAGTAGCTGGAACCACAGGTGCACACCACCACGCCCAGCGAATTTTTTCTTTTCTTTTTTTTTTTTAAGAGATGGAGTCTCACTGTGTTGCCCACACTGGTCTCAAACTCCTGGGCTCAGGCGATTTCCCCCACCTCAGCCTCTCAAACCTTTGGGATTATAGGCGTGAGCCACCACATCCAGCATCTGCCTGCTTTTCTTCTGGAAACTAAGGCTTTGGCTGCAGGCAGCCCCCCATTCCCTCCCCTCACGCTCCGTCTTTCCGGTGCTCCTCAAACACTGAGGACACGGCGTTGAGGACATGGCGACATCCTGGGCAGACTGGTTTCTGCCCCCCTCCAGGGCAGTAGGGCTCGGGCGGTCCCCAGTGGTCAGGGCCTGCATCTTGGTGACCTGGTGACCGGCTGTGTCCCCACAGTACTTCCAGAGAGTGATCCCCCACCAGTTCGACAGCTGCCCGGACAAGCTGGTCCTCAAAGCCTACCAGGTCAAGTACAACCCCAAGAAGATGAAGAGGTCGGTGCCTGCTGGGCAACCAGGGTGCTGGTGGGAAGGGGGGACCCCCGAGGGCATGACAGTAACCATGGGGCCCTCCCGCTCTGCAGGCTGGAGAAGGAGTACGCAGCCATGAAGAGCAAGGAGATGGAGGAGCAGATCGAGATCAAAGTGAGTCCAGGGGCCCCGGGGGGCGGGGACAGGGATGGGAGGCCCTTGGGGGCTGCCCTCCGTACTTTAAGATCGGCCGCTAGGGGGCGGGCCTTCCCAGCGCACAGGCGGACTCGGCCGTCCTTGGCGGACAGGCCTCGGCCTACCTGCGCCGTCCTTCACCTGTTAGGCCAGCTGTGAGCACCTCCCCCGCCTGACGCCGCGGTAACCAAGACTGTCAAGGTCCCTGCCCTGCTGGGCCGTCCAGAGTCATGGGGAAGCAATCAATAAACCACTGAACTAGAGTGTGGACTCTAAATGCTCTGGACAAGGATGTGCGCGGTGGGCAAGGCTGACCTGGGCAGCGGCTCCGGGTCCAGGGCCGGGTCCAGGGCTACAGGCCCAGGGCAGCAGCATGCCTTGGGGGCTGGAGGAATTTCAAGAAGGTTGCAGTGGAGAACCCCCCAGGGGACCGCCTTATGGGGAAAGATGGAGCACGCAGGGCCCAGACACCAGGGTGTGTAGGGCAAGGCGTGGGCACTCACCTGGGGGCCCTGGTTCCTGGGGCACCTGGCCCGCCAGCCCTACCAGGTCAGGGGGTTCCCTGAGTGTGCAAAGCTGCTCTCTCCTTCCTTGCGCGTTATTCCCTTTTCGCGTGATTTTAGTTATTTACTCAACAAGCATTTATTGCCGGGTGCGATGGCTCATGCATGTAATCCCAGCACTTTGGGAGGGGGAGGCAGGTGGATCGCTGGGGGTCAGGAGTTCAAGACCAGCCTGACTAATACAGTGAAACCCGTCTCTATTAAAAATACAAAAATTAGCCGGGCGTGGTGGCGCATACCTGTAATCCCGGCTACTCGGGAGGCTGAGGCAGGAGAATGGTGTGAACCTGGGAGGTGGAGGTTGCAGTGAGCCTAGATTGCGCCACTGCACTCCAGCCTGGGCGACAGAGCAAGACTCCATCTCAAAAAAAAAGAAAGAAAAAAAAACCATTTATTGAGCACCTGCTGTGTGCCAAAGTCACAGCTGAGACTCAGGACGCCCCAGTGATAGGAATGGACACACACAAACCCAACACAGCCTGGCTCCATGCTCTTCAGGGGCAGAGCCACACAGTGGCTAACACTGGAGTCCAACAGACAAGGACCGAAATCCAGCTCCAGCAGGCACAGTGGCTCACACCTGTAATCCCAACATTTTGGGAGGCCAAGGTGGGAGGGTGGCTTGAGGCCAGGAGTTGGAGACCAGTCTGGGCAACATAGCAATACCCCGTCTCTACAAAAATATAGAAATAAATACAAAAGGCACGCCCAGCTCCTGCAGGGATGGCTGTGCTTGGTGCTATAATGGGTTGAAGCCAGAGAGATGACAGGGAAACCCGGGGCCAGGGATCAGGGCTCCAGATTGCTATGAGGACCAGAGACCTGTGCCTGAAATAGCTCTGACCCAGCCGAACTGAGGAACTAGAGCAATGCCCTGCCCCCCTCTGACTCAGTTTCCCCACATGACATGCATCCATGGCTGTCAACTCTGCGGTTCTGTCTGACTGCATTTGCTTCCTGGGAATGTTCTAGGTGTTTCCATCACCTTTTCTCCCCAGAAGAAACCCAGGAAATATTCTGTGTGACCTGCAGTGTGGCAGGACCCTCACTCACCTGCCAATCCAAACAATTTCTGTACCACCTTCGTATCAAGCAAGGGGGCGCAGGTACAGTTGAGATTCAACTCGTTTGCAAACCTCACCTGCTCCCCAAAGAGACCTGGGGAACCTAAAGTGCAAATATCTTTTTCTTTTTCTTTTTTTTTTGGAGATGGAGTCTTGCTCTGTCACCCAGGCTGCAGTGCAGTGATGTGATCTCAGCTTACTGCAACCCCCACCTCCCAAGTCCAAGTGATTCTCTTGCCTCAGCCTCCCCAATAGCTGGGATTACAGGCATGCGCCACCACTCCTGGCTACTTTTTGTGTTTTTAGTAGAGGCTGGTCTCGAACTCCTGACCTCAGGTGATGTGCCTGCCTCAGCCTCCCAAAGTGCTGAGATTACAGGCGTGAGCCACTGCACCTGGCCTAAAACTGCAAATATCTAGCCAAAATCCATCAGCACAGAATGGAAGGCAAGAGCAAGGGAAACGTCTTCTAAACCCCAGCCAGGGAACAGGCAAAAACCACTGGGAACAGGTTGCTCTCGGCAAGTCACGGGAATGTAGTTGTCGAGGAAGGATGCGTGATCAGCAGGCTGGACCCAGACTCAAAGAGGAGCCTGCCCCCGGAATTGAACCCGGGTGCTTGAGGCGAAGCAGCGAGGGGTGGGTGGGGGCTACTCCACAGCTGCTTCCCCCACTGATTCCCCCACAACCCTGGGCAGACTGACCCACCTGTGGGATGGAGTCTTCTGAGCGGTTGTGGGTACTGACTGGCCCCCAAACACACACATGGCCACGAAGGGACTCACGTTATTTTTACTGAACCCAGGTTTCTTTTAAAACTTTATTTATTTATTTATTTTGTAATAAAGCCAGTCTGGACAGGAATTGGCCCTGTTTTCTGAAATCGCTGACCCAGAACGTAAGATGCTGGCTACACCCTGCCTGGAAAAGTGGCCTGGCCCTAAGGGGACTGACCCCGCGGTGGGTTAAATGAGGGGTGTGTGTAGACAGGCGTGGGGGGCGGCCTATGACGTGATCTCCCCCCACTCCCATAGAGGCTTCGGACGGAGAACCGGCTCCTGAAACAGCGGATTGAAACCCTGGAGAAGGTGAGGGGCGTGGCCACCGTGGGGACCTGGTCGCCATGGGGCGTTTTCCACCATGCGGGGTGTGGCCGCCAACCTGGGACTGACTCCTCCAAGTCTTTTCCTCTCTGGAGGACTAAGCAGCCCTACCCTCCTGCCCCAGGACCCGACCTCAACCCGATTTGGAGTGCCGTAGAACTGGGGGCGACTCGTATTGTGATTAATCCTGGAGTAGGGGCGAGTTACAACCCAGTGGCCTGCAGCCACGGGAATACATTTGTGTTCCGCACCCTCCCCGGCTGCGCGGACGGGGAGGGGTGAGGAGGAGGGAGAACTGCCGCTTTGGTGGATGAGCCCCGTAATTGGGCCACAAGGCACCGCACCCTGTAATTTGGAAGTCTCGCCCTCAAAAGAAAGGAAAGGAAACGCAGTGGAGGAGAAGCGTGGCGCCATGGTGGGGAGCCACAGCCCGGATTCTGCTCCCCAACATGTTATGGGGGTGGAATCGGGGGCTCACTGAGCCCCAGCCCCGGAAGCCCCCCCTTCCTGCTCCTCATTCGTCCTTACTTGACCCTCCACTGGCCACAGGAAGTGGGTCGGCAACCGTATTTGACTGCCCTCACCCCAAAGCCTTGTTCTGCCTTAAAATTAACACGCACCCCACTCCTCTCCCACTACCCGGGAGGTCTGCACGAAGCCGAAATTCCCTCCGCCCCTCCCAGCCCACAGTTTTGCAGCCAGCCGCAGCCTGGCTGGCCGTGGACAGTGAGACAGTGGGTTTCCCAGCCCTGCGGCCTCCCCCGCAGCCGCGGGCACCCCCGACCTCCCCACGCACACCGAATCCCTCTCCAGGACGGAACTGGCTCTAGCTTTATTCTTCCTCCCGGTCCTCTCCTGCTGGTTCTCTGGTCTTCCCTCCTCTCTCCCCCGCTTCTAGAGATAGTCCACTGCGTTAGTGACAAGTGGTTCTTGTCTGTCTCCCCTCTCCTGTCCCCGCGCCTTCCGCTCTGCCTCCTCCCCCTGTCGCTGGGAATCCCCTTCGCCGGGTAGGAGAGCGCTGCTCTGGCTGATAGGTTAATCCAGGTACTGTAGCTTTTTATCCCCTCTCCGGATTCCTTCCTGGCCCCTTCCCTGCACCCTGCACACGACAGCCAGTAACCGCCTCTTCCCTACCATTCTGCGGGCAGGCCTGGCGCCATGCATGGGGCAGCTGGGGACCGCTTCTGGGGGACACAGAGGCTTCCCGGTGGGCGGGGCATGTGAAGTGGGGAGAAGTGTGTGTGTGGAGGGGCTGTCTGTGAGTGCATTTGGGTGTGAATGTCTACACGCATGTACAGAAAGCTTCCTCCAGGCGACACAGGGTGGGGATCCAGGAGGGCTGGGGAACCTAAAAGCATATTTACATAAGGCCCTGGTGTGTGCAGTGCTGCGGTCACACACACACGCACAATGCACACACACACGCACACACACACGCATGCACATGCACGCACAACACACGCGCACACACATGCACACACACGCACACACACGCACAACACGCACACACATGCACACACGCACAACACGCACACACACGCACAACACACGCACACACGCACAACACCCGCACACATGTGCGCACACACGTGCACACACACGCACAACACACGCACACACACGCACACACACATGCACACACGCACAACACACGCACACACACATGCACACACACACGCACACACACGCACACACACATGCACACACGCACAACACACGCACACACACATGCACACACACACGCACAACACACGCACACACACACATGCACACACGCACCCCGGCCCTCACGCTGCTCCTCTCTGCTCCTACCTGCAATGCCTGCTACCATCTTCTCTAGCTCACCTGCTCCTGCTGCCACCTCATCTTGAATGGCTTTATCTGGAAGCTGCCACCCGCCACCTGGTGGCTTTGAGCCTGGAATGGGGGGCCCAAGTTGGGTAGTGGACGAAGATGAGGTGGGGGAAAAAAAGGGGGTCTTAGCCCCAGGCAGGTGGAGGCCCCAGAGCCCAGGACTGGAGAAGATGCCCCCTGGGAGTCCAGTCCTGTCCTGCTGGGGCCTTGGCTGTCCCCAGATCCTCACCCTCACTGGCAGAGTCTGGCACGAATAGGCACAGGTGGCCTCGCTGTGCCCCTGGATAAGGACCCCAACTGGGGCAGAGACCGAGAGCCAGAGTGGGGAAGGAGATTGAGCTTTCCAAGCCCAGGGCTAGCTCTGTTCCTCCCAGGCTCCTCCAGGTGTCCTATTCCTGCCTGTCACCCACCCACGTCCCCAGGCCCAGTGGGACGCCCATCCCAGGCTCTGAGTACGGGAGGCCCCCCACTTCACTTCCACCCACCTCCATTCTCTGGGCCTCCCCCTGTGGCGGGAGGCAGGGCCTTGGGTGGGAGCCGAGGGTCACGGCCTCCCCCTCCCCGCCCCCATCCTTGCTGTGCCCAGGGCCAAGTGACACGGGCGCAGGAGGCAGAAGAGAACTACGTCATCAAGCGGGAGCTGGCGGTGGTGCGGCAGCAGTGTAGCTCGGCGGCCGAGGACCTGCAGAAGGCACAGAGCACCATCCGGCAGCTGCAGGAGCAGCAGGTACAGGCGGGTGTGCGGGGCTGCTGAGTGGGGCCACGCCCCGCGCCCCTGCCCCACAGTTTTCTTTCAGGGCTCAGATCTGCGGGCCTCAGCGCCTGGCCCTCCTGTTCCTTTCTGGGGTAAGGGGAACCCAGAGACAAGCGCAGATTCTCTCCCAGCAACTCCACATTCTGGGACATCCTGATTCCCATTTCTTGCCACCTCGTAGGGTGTCTGCAGTGTCTGACTTCCCAACCCCCCAGCCTCAGCAGGGAGACCTCTGAAGATCGGGCTATCCCTGCAAGGTTCCCTCCATGTCACAGGCAGCAGACAGAGCTATGACTGCTTACCGAGGCCCTTGCCTCTCCCCAGAGTCTGAAGAATTGTTGGGTGTCCCCAGGGGGCCAGCCATGAAGAATGAGAGCAGGGCAGTCCAGGACTGTTTGGGGAGCTCTGAGCCGGCAGGGTGGGGCTGAGGGGGCACCCTGAGTGTCTTGTGGGCCATAAACTTTGGATCCCATCATGGGCAGGCCCATGAGCTGGGCCCCCCCCAAAAAAAATCTTCTTCTCCTGAAAGCTTTTAGAACCTAACTGCGACCTGGCACAGTGGCTCACAGCTGTAATCTCAGCACTTTGGGAGGCTGAGGTGGGCAGATCACCTGAGGTCAGGAGTTGGAGACCAGCCTGGCCAACATAATGAAATCTCGTCTCTACTAAAAATACAAAAATTAGCCGGGTGTGGTGGCATGCGCCTGTAGTCCTAGCTACTCAGGAGGCTGAGGCGGGAGAATCACTTGAAGCCAGGAGGCGGAGGTTGCAGTGAGCTAAGACGGCGCCACTGCACTCCAGCCTGGATGACAGAGCAAGACTCCACCTCAAAAAAAAGAAAAGAAAAAAAAAAAAAAACTTAATTGCAGCTGCACCTAGCAGTTGGGCTTCCTGATTGCAGAGACCACCAGTGGCTGTAGCCCTAAGCCCCTCAGGCCACCGGGACATATGCCCCAGAGGGCAGGGAGCGATGCTGTAGGCCCCACTGCCATCCTGGCCTGACCCAGCAGGGCCTGGCGGTGGGGTGTGGGTTGGAGAAACCATGGAGTGCTTGAGAAAGAAGAGCCATCCAATACAGAGGTGCCCCCTCCACCCCCAGGCCCAGAGACTACAGCTCAAGCCTTGGCCCGGGGATTCTAGTTGATCCCCTGCTCCTGGGGAGGGGAAGGGCAGTTTCTCTGTTTCTCACTTGTCCCCGTGAACCCCATCGGTATGATGCTTCTGTTGTGGCCCTCAGAGTCTGCGAGCAATCTCATCCCACCTTGCTGTGAGGCAGCATGGACGTTAGGGAAACTGAGGCTGGGCTCATCCCACCCACCGCATGATGCTTCCTTTCAGGCTTGTCAGAGAGACTCCTGAGCTCTGGCCTTGGGGGGGATGTAGTGATGGGGGAGGCCCAAGGCCACCTCCTCAGGCCCAAAGGGAGGCCACTACAGGCAAGATGAGGTGGCCCAGAGGAGCCACAGCCTGGCAGGGCCCCCACATGGGGCCTGGAGGCCATCTGGGCTGAGGTAGAGCCACCGTCACACATGGATCTCAGAGACCCACAGGAAGAGGGTGGTGGCTGGGAGGGCTGAGGCAGTCCCCCAGAGAACTGCGCTACCAGGCCACAGGGTCAGTGAGAGGGAGCCTGGCTCCCACCCCAGGGGCCAGATGTCCTTTTTCAGGTCCAGGTGGCAGTGTCCATCACTCCGGGGGCCCCCCCACTGGGGAACTTCTGAGAAGCCAGGGCAGGGAGCAAGAGGTTGATACCAACACTCTTTCCCCATCCTTCCCTGTTTGGAAATGGAGGGTGGGATGCAGAGGAGAAAGGTGGAGAGACAGGTGCACAGCCCCAGGCCTCGCCCCCACCCCTGGCCTTACCTACCATGTGGCTGGAATGGTGACCACCCAGCAAGAACCCATCTCCCACCCTCACCAGTGACCCTGGAAAACCACAGTCACTGGGGTCCCTCGGGGCATCCGAAGGCCAAGGCAAGTCCCCTTTCAGAATGTCCCCTCTGTGCAGCCTTTCCAGGAAGGAAGCTGGACCGGGCCAGCTGCATGGGTGCCAGGACCTCTAGGCCCTCTGCTCTGAGCATCAGGGGGTCCAGCCCATGATGCCCCAAACCTGGGCCCCTCTCCCTGCTGAAGGGCTCTGGGGAGGGAGGCAGAAGCCAGCAGGCATGGACGCTGCCCATCCCCCAACCATGGCCTGGGGCCCCACACAGCTCTCTGCCTCCCCCAGGAGAACCCCCGCCTCACAGAAGACTTCGTGTCCCACCTGGAGACTGAACTGGAACAGTCGAGGCTGCGGGAGACGGAGACACTGGGGGCCCTTCGGGAGATGCAGGACAAGGTTCTTGACATGGAAAAGGTGCGACAGGAAGCAGGCGGGCAGGTGTCGGGGGAACCCTGGGGCATAGGAGGCGTCCTGGGTAAGCTTTGGGGGTGACCCCAGGTCAGAATCCCCCACCCCCATGCACACATAACCATACATATGCACACACACAGCACAACCCCACGTGGCCATGCCCACCCTCCTGTATGAGGCAAACTCCAGCAGCGTGGCAGCTTCTATGAGCTTCCTGGATACCCCCATCCCACCTGTGTGTGTTTCCCCAGGTACCGGGTTCCAGGAAGGAGGGAGGGAGGGAGAGAGGGGGATGGGGGACGGGGACAGGAAGGAGAGAAAGGAAGGCCCAGGCCCACTGGGGCTCCCTCCCTACACATTCCCATGGAGACACCATCCCAGGCCTTCTGGGTCCCTCCCCAACTGCTCTCTGACTTGGCATCGACTCCACTCTCCCACGGAGCTCCCAGAGGAAGGAAAGCACCCAGAGGCCCATTCACACATGCAGCAGGAGCCTCCCCACCCCTCCAGCCTGCACTATTTTGGGAGTCCTCCCAAATGGAGGACTGAGAGGCCATCTGCTTCCAGGCCCTCATCACCAGCCAAGAGCTGGGCTCCGCTCCCGCCTCCCTCCACTTCACAGGGAAGTGTGCCTCCAGGACACGCTGCTGGATCCGTCCCAGCCCTAGACCCAAACACGGGTCAGTGCGGACCTCATCTAGAAAGCTGGATTTGGGTCCTGGAGCATCAATCCTCCATCACGGAGCCCTGGGGTGCCAGGCCAGGGCCTAGGCTGGCACTCAGCCTGTTCCCAGTGAGAGCGACTGCCTGGCCTGGTGTGGCCTGGCCTGGGGGCCAGAGGGCAGACAGGGTGTTTCTGCTGGGGCTGGTTCTCTACCTGATCATTCCCCTGAGCGGGTGGATCTCAGACCTCGGGGAGTCTGAGTATGTGCAGGACGGCGTTTATGGGGGTTGCCCTAGGACACCCTGTGAGAGTAGGTGCTGTTATCACACCCATTTTACAGCTGAGGAGCTCCAGCCGGTTCCACAGGCGAGTCTGCTCCCCGTGGGCCTTGTCCAGGGGGTCGCCCTCCCCCATCTGAGCCGCCCAGGGCAGAGCTCAGGAGGAAACGTGGCTGGGGGCGTTTGTCCTGCAGGAAGGGCCATGCAGCTGCGCTGCTCCCCCAGGCCCTGATCCCTCTCTCCCCGCAGAGGAACAGCTCGCTGCCCGACGAGAACAACGTGGCGCAGCTGCAGGAGGAGCTGAAGGCGCTCAAGGTGCGGGAGGGCCAGGCGGTGGCCTCGACGCGAGAGCTGAAACTGCAGCTGCAGGAGCTCTCGGACACCTGGCAGGTGAGGGCCGGGTGGGCGCCGGCGGGCAGAGCGGCCCCTAGGGCCATCCCCTCGGGGCTCCTGAGCGGAGGCTGACCGCCCGCCTCTCGGCTTCACCCCCCAGGCCCATCTGGCCCGCGGCGGCCGCTGGAAGGAGTCCCCACGGAAGCTGGTCGTGGGCGAGCTGCAGGACGAGCTGATGAGCGTGCGTCTGCGCGAGGCCCAGGCCCTGGCCGAGGGCCGCGAGCTGCGGCAGCGCGTGGTGGAACTTGAGACGCAGGTGAACTCGGAGTGCCTGCCCGTTGGGGGAGGGGCGTGGTGTCCGTGGCCAGCCCCTGGGTTAGGCCCTGACCGCCACGGTTCGCCGTCCTCCCTTCCTCCCTACCCCAGGACCACATCCATCGCAACCTTCTGAACCGCGTGGAGGCGGAGCGCGCGGCGCTGCAGGAGAAGCTGCAGTACCTGGCGGCACAGAACAAGGGACTGCAGACGCAGCTCAGCGAAAGCCGCCGCAAGCAGGCCGAGGCCGAGTGCAAGGTGCAGACCCCCGCGGCCCCTTCCGGCCCGCGGCACCTGCCCCGGACGCAACCCTACATGAGGCCCCGCCCCTAATCCCCCCCTGCCCGCCGTCCCGCCTCCTGATCCGCCCCCACCCTCGGCGCCCCGCCTCCTGATCCGCCCCTGCCCGCGGTCTCGCCTCCTGACCCACCTCCGTCCGCGCCCCGCCTCCTGATTCGCCCCTGCCCGCGGTCCCGCCCCCTGATGCGTCCCGCCCCCTGACCCTCCCTCCTTTTGCCCCCAATCCCCCGACCCCAGAGCAAGGAGGAGGTGATGGCCGTGCGACTGCGGGAGGCAGACAGCATGGCTGCGGTGGCCGAGATGCGGCAGCGCATCGCTGAGCTGGAGATCCAGGTGAGCGGCGGGGGCGGGGGCAGGGCCTGGGGCAGGAGCGGGGCCGGACCCCAGGCCCAGCATGGCACTGGCCCCGCGTGACCTGGCGCACCCCGCAGAGGGAGGAGGGCCGAATCCAGGGTCAGCTGAACCACTCGGACTCATCGCAGTACATCCGCGAGCTCAAGGACCAGATCGAGGAGCTGAAGGCCGAGGTGAGCCGGCGCGGGGATGCCGGGGACAGGCCTGGGTGTCGTCGGCCTGGGACGAGCCGAGCGCCGGTGCCTTGCGGAGGATGCGGCTGGGAGGGCGGGGCAGAAGGCCGGTCCACGCCTGCAGCGCCGGTCCCCCGCCCCAGGTGCGGCTGCTGAAGGGCCCGCCGCCCTTCGAGGACCCGCTGGCTTTCGACGGGCTGAGCCTGGCGCGGCACTTGGACGAGGACTCGCTGCCGTCGTCGGACGAGGAGCTACTCGGCGTAGGCGTGGGCGCCGCCCTGCAGGACGCGTTGTATCCTCTGTCCCCGCGTGATGCGCGCTTCTTCCGCCGTCTAGAGCGGCCGGCCAAGGACAGCGAGGGCAGCTCAGACAGCGACGCCGATGAGCTTGCCGCGCCCTACAGCCAGGGCCTGGACAACTGAGGCCGTGCCCCGCGCGCCCGGAGTCAGGAGACCGCAGTCGCGGGGGGCGCCCGGGCAGTCCGCGTTCTGCGCTCCACCTGCCGCACTTGACGAACTCCGCGCCCTCTGTGGCTCAGCCACCCACAAAGCGAGGCCCGGCGAGGCAGCGCAGAGGGTGGGGTCCGGCCTGGGGCTCCTCAGGACCCCGGGGCAGGCTCTCCCTCCCCAGCAGTGTTTACCCATCTTGGTCTGTACTCCTCCGGGCCCTCTGGCGTTCCGGGGTGCCTGGAGGGGCTGACTGCTCTCTTAACAGGAGGGCAGAGGGCAAGAGACAGATGACCCAGAGGTCCCAGCACTGAATGAGCAGGCAGCTCCCACCTCCCAGCAGGATTCCTTCTGGGACAGGGGCGGCATTGCTGGGAAGCGCCCAGGAGCTAACCGAGGCCTGAGGAAGGAGAGCACCAGCTCTGGGCTGGACATCAGCACCCCATGACACTCCTCGGGACGAAGTGACCCTTGACCAACCCCTGGCCATCTCTAGGGGAGTTGGGCCGCTGGGGACAGATGGCCAGGCCGGCCTCTCCTGCCTGGTGCAGGCACCATGGCCCCTGCAGCAGAAACCAAAGTCCCCCATACTGTGTGCAGGGCCACCTGGGGAGTGAGTGGCGAGCGGGAAGTCTCCCTGCTTCTCTGGGGCCAGAGCAGCTTCGAGGAAGTGAAGAGACCCCTCTCCCCAGCACCCCACATCTTCCTCTGGGAGACACTCACACCCCCTATCCTGGCCAGTGATGGAGGGGTATCTCTGGGGGGGTGCTCAGCTTCCATCTACTTCCCTTTCTTCCTGTGTTCCCAGCCCCACCCTCAGCCAGGGCCAGGCCACCACCTAGGAGCTTCCTAGCGAGCGGCCTCCCCTCACTTCCTCCTGGTGGTCCCGTGGCCTCTGCTGAATCAGAGCTGAGAACGGTGCCAAAATTCAACGATGCCCCCCAGTCCCCTTCCTCCCTCCTCCCAGCCCCCGGGGCCTCATGACCTTGGGGCTGCCCCCCTCGGTGCTCCTGGAGCCTCCAGTAGAGTAGCGTCACAAGCAATCTCCCTGGCGCTTCCTGGGGTGGGGACCCCTGCTCCGTCCCCACTTCCTAGCTGCCCACTTTTCAGTGTTATGAAGCCTGGGAACCGGGGCAGGCACCCGCGGGGCTCTCCCACACGCCCCCTACACTGCCCACCACCATTTTGCACACTGCCTGTTCACTCCACATGTTGCCCAGGCGGGAAAGATGGAAAATAAAGTGTATTTACACAGTCACGGACTGGCCTGCGGGCTGGGAGAATCGCAAGCAGTGGTGGGTGCCCAGCCCCAGGACCAAAAACCGTGCTCAGGGAAGGCGACGCTGTCCTCGCCCTCAGGAGCTCCCCACAGTCTCATAGAATGGGAGTGGGAGAGGACAGAAGGGCATTCAGTTTGGGGGCAGGGTGGGAGAGGACAGAAGGGCATTCAGTTTGGGGGCAGGGCATGATTTCCCACCCGGGTGAATTAACCTGAGCCTCCCCTGAAGGAGAGAGAGGCATGCCAAATCGCTGGGCTTCAGGAAGCACAGGACCCAGTTGCGTTCATTCTGCTCACACCTCCAGGGGTATTGCGGGGTACTCTGCCCTGTGCCTGGCTCTGAGGGGGGTCTCCAGTGGAGCGGAGGAGACAGGTACTAGGCAGGGGGGAGCCTGCACTAATGTGGTAAGTGCTCAATAGACAAATGTGCAGGGAGATCAGGGAAGGCTTCCTGGAGGAGGTGGTGTCAGGGCCTCTTCCAGGGGTAAAAGCATAAAGATCAGACCAACAGGAGGCACACCATGCCTAGGAAGGAGGAATAGGAAAGCCTGGGCGTGGTCAGATCCAGAAGGGACTGCTTACGTCAGGAGAGGGAGTTTGGGCTTTGAACTGGGGGCCACTGGGAGCCCATGGAGGGCTTAGGTAAGAGGGCCCCACCAGATGGACTGCAGAGTCTGTGAGGGGCTAGTGCAGGGAGGATAGTGAGTAGGGGGCAGAAAGAGTCCTTTGTGGGGTTCCCCACAGAGCTAAGGCAGAATCCCAGCTGCTGGGTGGCGGTGTGGGGCGGGGTGGAGGACAGAGCCAGGAGTGGCAAGGCAAAGCTTCCTAGAGGCAGAAACGTTTGTTTGGTTGTTGTTTTTTTTGAAACGGAGCTTCACTCTGTCACCCAGGCTGGAGTGCAGTGGTGTGACCTCAACTCACTGCAACATCCGTCTCCTGGGTTCCAGTGATTCTCCTGCCTCAGC